CAATTGGCTTTTCATGTTTACTTGGGAGTTGTCTCAAGCTTAGGCACCTTATCTTAAGATGGGCAGTTCACTCATAGTAAATAAATCTCTATGGGTCACTGGTCACCGCTGAGGCTTATATTGGCCTGTGAAGCTGTGACACCTCAAGGACAAGGAGACTGTAGCTGAGGACATTTGGCTCCAACCCCAATTAACTACAAGGAGACTGCAGCTGCGGAGTCCACACTCCTACAATAAATAACAACCTAAGGATAAGAGAGTTTTCCTGATTGACGTAATTTGCTACTTGAGAAAATTTTTCCACGGTCCTGCGAGAATCCCACGTTTTCTTGAGTATCCTCCTCCTTTGTTTGAAAACCAAATAAATACGGGCCACCCAAAAAAGTCTTTGGCTAACTCAAAAAATACTAAAGCTATAAGAGAGTTAGTCCCTCTTAGAGCCCTAAAATCATTGCCATTGTCTCATTTATTTAAGCCTTCGCCTTCCACTCGCTTGGGAGATTGCAGGCCTAATCAGCCTGCAATAACAGGGTTATTTAACCTGGTTTCTGATATCCCCCAAAACTCATATGCTGCATCTCTAATCTCCACTGTGGATGTTTGGAAATAGAGCCTTCAGGGAGGCAAAATAAGGTCAGGAATGCAAGGCCCTCATCTAATATGATTAATGTCCTTAGAAGTAGAGGAAGAGACACCAGATCTCTCCCTGTCTCTCTGCATGCAGAGAGAAGATGCCTTGTGAGGACACAGGGAGAAGGCAGCTGTCTATAAGCAGGAAGAGGATCCCACCAGAAACCAACCCTGGTGGCCCCTTGATCTAGGATTTTTAGCCTCTGGACTGCAACAAAGTAATTTTCTATTATTTAAGCACACCAGCCTGTGGTATTTTGCTATAGAGCCCAAGCTGACTAATACACCAGTGTTCACTGCTTCAGCTCATTCTTCCCTTTTATGGCAAAGATGAAATCCCATGTTGGTGTGGAAGTGCAACACTGACACATCACAGGGAGGACAGTCACCCCGGATGCTCTAGATCTGCAGTGAACTTTGCAGAGAGAGAATTTGTCACTGAGGGAAAACCTCGAACAGAACCCTAACCCTAGAACCCTTGCCACATTTAGCATATATAGGCACCTTCACAATGAGGTGGAAAGAATATGTGATTACAGAGAGAATAGGAAACAGAAACAAACACCGAGGAAGGCATTTCCTTATGTTTACATGTTGGAGTCCTTGTCTTATTAGTTTAGTTGGTTTGTTTTTGTTGTTTTGATACTGGCGCTTGTTTTCTTCCTGTACAGATTCCCTCCACAATGTACCACCATACTGCACCCTGCATAGGCACGCTGCCTTTATACCTCCAAAACTGTGAGCTAAATAAACCTTCTCAAGTAGTTCAGGTATGAGTCTCAGGAATTTCATTATAGTAATGTGAGGCTGACTAATGCACCTGGCTCCTTGTCTCCTGATTTAGGGCTCTGTCTGTTGTCCCTTACTATCTACAAATAAGGCCAACCTTGAGGGCTGTCATTGCTTAGGCTGTCATTAATTTCCAGGGGTCCTGGCTACTGTGTTCCAGGCTATCCTGACCCTTGAGAGAGAGGCTGGAGCACACATCCTAATAATAGAAATACTGGGATTCAAGACAAAAGATGCCAACACACACATGTGCACACACACACACACACTCTTTGTGTGCCATAAATTCCAGGTATATGTCCCCTGTATGTGCACAATCACATGTATGCCTACACACATATAGATACTCTTGACACTTGCGTACTAATATTCAGTTAAATATCTTTTCACTTATTTGCATGTACATATATTTACATACACCTCAGTATACAAATGAAAATGTGATGGCTCACATGCTGATACATTCTCAAACATTATATTTACTCATATTTACACACAAACACATGAATAAAAATATTAAATTTCCTTCATATTTGCTTTTTTTTTGAGAGAGGGTCTTTCCATGTAGTCCAGGTTGGCATTGAATTTGTGATCCTTCTGTCTCAGTGTACATTCACTCTTAAGACTGTCCCATATCCTGTATCTACACTTACTCACAGATACATGCATATCCATGTTTATACATTACATACATGTACACAGAAATGTACATGATTATGTTAATCATTCCACATGGTGTACATATGTCTCTTTGAGGTTGTGCATCTACTACATTGAAATGAGCACGCTTGCATACACGGGTCTATGTGCCCCTGTGTGATCCCATAATTCTGTCGTGGACAAGTGGACGTGCATGACACACAGACACACGGATGCTGCTGTGCGCACACTTATACACCCTCACAGCGCTTGTGTTTAGACAAGCTGGCTGGTTCCTTCTGGAGTTCAGCTCCAGGTCTTTCTCTTCTGGGCTGTCTGAGGGCTGCCCTAGGTCAGGACCTGTTTCTTTCTCCCCCTTGTGTATTCCTGCTTTGACTTGGGCCTTCCTCATGCTGCAGAGATTCAGAGCATCCCTGGGAAGGTCAGATGAAGGACGGACGGACAGCTCAGCCCTCCGCCTCCCTGGAGGGTATGGGTAGGGACCCCTTGGCTTTGCTGCCGCCTCTCTCTGCTCTCCTGTACTAACTCTGGTAAAGAAAGCTATGCCCTCGGGGGAAGGCAGCAGTCAGGCCCGGGGCTCCAGCTGTGTCTAGAGCTGCTCTATTTCCCTGCTGTGCCCGGAGAACTAACCTAGCCAGAAGTTTCTGACCCTGGACTCTGACCAGATTGCCGGGGTCCTTGGTGCATAGCAGCCCCCACTGTGATTGGAGAGGCAGCGTCGTGGGCTGCCTGTGCCTCTCCTAGCTGCGTGTTCACGGACAAGTGCATCCTCTCTGGCCTGTTTCCATGTCCGCTCGAACTCCCTACAATGATTTGTTTTTTGTTTTCGCTTTTTGGTACCAAGAATCGAACTCAGTATGGAATATGCCTACTAGGAAACCACAAGGTCTACCCTGCTCTGCACTTCCTCTAGTAAATAAGGACCCAGCGACCTCCCCTGTGGGCCACCCCATGGAAGCACATCGTTGTGAGCCTTCTTTTGCATGGCAGGGGGCTGTCTCCTCTTGTGGAGTATCCTCATTGTTTCCCCTGAGGTGTGCCCAGCCTGGCACTGTCGGGGGTTGGATTTCCACTTCTGACAACACAGGTTGTTGCTGACATGTGCACTGTGGATCTCCAGCCCGCCGATTTCTCAGGGCAGTGCTCCTTGGTGCTGTGGCAGTGTGGTGCAGGACAAACCCTTATCTATGGGTTGAGAGGATGGAGCTTTCTCCTGCTGGTAACTAGCTGGCCCTGTGATGTGCTCTCGCCTGGTCTTAGTCCCTTCAGCTATAAAATGAGGGACATGGTGTGCACTGCTCCTGCTACCCAGAGTGGTTCCTGAGACCCAGCTCTCGGTGAGTGTGGAAATGTGCTGGAAATGACAGGCGGCATCTAGTAAGAGTAGCTACTTTCACTGGTGTCAGACACCGTGCCTAACTTCCCGTGCTCTGTGTCTGAATCCTCACATCAGGCCAGGAGGTGGATGCGATCGGTGTCTCCATTTCTCAGACAAGGACATAGACTTTGGTTACCTTGTCCAAGCTTCCAGAGCTGTCCTGTCTCTGTAGAAATCTGAGTGCTGAAGGGATGAAGTCAGGAGAGATAGACAGAAGACGGGGGAAGGCAGGGGGACGCCAAGGCTCAGAGAAGTCCAGGGATTGCCTAAGAGCACACAGCTCCTCAGTGACTGTGTTGGGGCTTCAGTGGCCCAAACCCTATCATCAATATCACCATCATCACCACCACCACCACCATCATCATCAAAACCACGGAGTGGACAGAGCACTTACTGTGATAAGCATTTGCTTCACACAACACACATGAAAACTGAATGAGGTCAGTATATTAATCGCCACTGGTGTTTTACAGGTTAAGAAACTGAGGCATAAAGACGTGCAGCAGGAAATCCATGGTTTAGAGGATTTTAAGGCCGTAGCATGTATAGGACTTGGCAGGAGCATAGCTAGGCTCTCACTCTACTTCTAAGGTTAACTTTAAGCTGCACTGATTTTGTTTTACAAGATAGCTTACTTCCTTTAAGTAAGAACAACTGATATATATATATATATTTTTTTTTCCAGGTGTGTGTGTGTGTGTGTGTGTGTGTGTGTGTGTGTGTATGTATGTATATGTGTGGTAGTTTTGGGGACCGAGCCCAGGGCCCACTAACCACCAAGATATACCAGCTATTTTTATTTTGTTATTTTAAGACACGGTCATGCTAAGTTGTGCAGGCTAGCCCTGAACTCATGATCTTTCTGCCTCAGCCTCCCAAATAGCTGGGATTATAGGTCTGTACCACAGCACTCAGAAAAATTGACTTTTTTCAAGAACTGAGAAAAATTTCTAATAGAATAGTCACCCATGATAGAAATTTAAAACATACAGCTATACTGACAGAATAAAAGAAGAATTGTGTGTAAGCCCATGAGTCAGGGATAATCGCTATTAACATTTACCAATCTCTGATGTGTAGTCTTTTTCTAGCGTAATTATTTTAAACTTTTTATCGTAGAAAATTTTAAACACATTCAAAAATAGAGCAAATAGTACAGTTAATGCGGTCTATCCTTTCAGCTTCTATCCCCATCAGTCTTCTGCCATTTTTTCAGCTTCATTTGAAACCCTTGAGCAGGTCTCTACATTTTATTTTAATCTAAAAATGTAGACTGGTGAAGAACTGTGTTTTTGTAATGCTGAATGTTGGACACGTGGCAGCCCTGTTTGTCCTTGTGACCACCGCAGATGGCATGTCTTTATGCAAAGCTAAAGGCTGAACAAGACAGTAAAAACATTGGAGCCTCGTGGTACAGCCCCAGAGACCTGACAAAAACACCGGATTCTCCACCTCCTTGGGGAAGACCAAGGCAGAGGATACATATTTCAGCGGGAGAGCCATCCTCAGCAGGAAATAGCAGCTTGTATTTTGACTCACTCACCATGGTTGTCTCAGCAATGGAACCAAAGCTGTTGATGAAAATGTTGCAGCTCACATTCACCGGGGGACCTGCCAATCAAGAGAGATCCGTGCTTAGCTTCCTGGGGAAGGAGAGACCCACAGGCTGGGGCCCAAGCCTGGAGCTGACTTCAGAAAAGAACCCCCTCGGGGGAGTAGCCTCTTGCTACCCCTCCACCCCATCCCAAACACCCTGGAGTCCCAGCCTCCACTTAACATCTCTATGCCAGATTCCCTCATCCGCAGGTGAGCAGCAGGTACAGAACACCAGAGGCTGAGCTGCGATGTACTTTCATTAACACAGGATGATTCATCATCCTGCCATATGGTTGAAATCTCTTCCCCAAGCCCCATCGGCTGCCTTCTAATTTGTGTCTGAAATGTATTTATGGCTACAACATTTGGAAGCCGTCTTGGGACTCAGAAGGAACAGCAAGTTCCTTGCCTTGAACTTATGAACTAAGAATGATTATCTGGAAGGGCAGTGGTGGGAAGTGCCAGCTGAGGAATCCAGAGGGACCCTCAAGGAAAGCCCACTGGTCTTTGTTAAATATTGTCCAGGCAAGGGTTTTGAATCTTCCTGCAAAGGTGAGGGAGGAAGTGGAGGAGTATTCGCTGCTTTGGCATCTCATTGCTGGAGGGAGCTCAGTCTAGTGCAGGCGCAGTCTCTTCCTTTTGTCCTATTAATTAAGGGAGTTACCATTTACCAACTATTACCGGGTTTGCTCGTGTGCCGAGAGTATCACTACCAATACCTCGTTCTAGCCCCTCAGCAACTCCCTGAGAAGGTGTGCTATTACCTCTCTTTTACACACAGGAAACAGAGGCTCAGAGAGGATGAGTGGTCTGTTCATGGCCATTATTAGTAGATAGTTGAGCCAGGGTCTGAGTTCAGATTTGTCTAACTCTAAACATGATGATCTTAATGGCTACACTGTAGGAAAGAGATTCAGAGGAGAAAGAGGTGAGCTCATTGTCACACAGGGCAGGATCCAGAGTATTAAGCATTGGGCTGACGCACGAGGGAGTAACCGGAGGGGAGGTAAGATCCCAAGTGACACCGATAGACAGTAGAGCTCAGGTGAGGGAGGCTCTGACAGGAAGGGTTCATAAAGCGATGACCTTGAGTTGACCTTGACGGTGGTTAGGACTTGATCATAAGTCATGATCCTCATGAAGACTGGAATTTGTGAATTTTCTTAGGTCCGGTTTCTTGATCCCCATGTGGGACGGAGGTAGGCAGGGAAGAATTATCGTTCTTGTTTCATCAATGACCATATAGAGTTTCATTACCTTACTTGGGCTCATTTAGCTAAAAGAGGGTAGAACCAAGGTTTTCTGATTGTGGAAAGAGTAGATATCACTATGTCCTCTGTTATGCACTCCATGTTATCATTCTTAGAAAAGTTTCCCCAAACGTTGCACCCAAACTCAGCTATGTTTTTCTTTTTTCTTTTTTTTTTTTTTGTCTCTTTGAGACAGGGTCTCCCTAAGCAGTTCAGGCTGGCCTCGAACTCACAATGATCCTCCTGCCTCAGCCTCCCAAGTGCTGGGATTACAAGCATGTGCCACCATACCTGGCAGATTTTCTTTTTTTCCCAGAAATTTGGGTGGATAAGAGAGGACTTAGTCTTGGGGTGAGAATCCAGGGTTTTCCTTCTCAGGGAGTTCAAGACTTCTGGGATTTACATGTAATTTCAGTGTTTATTGGCTGCTTGACCTTACAGGTGTGTCATCCATGTGTGTGTATATGTGTGTGTGCATGTGTGTGTGTGTGTGTATTACTGGAGATTGAACCCAGGGCTTTCATACTGAGCTACATCTTCACCTCTTTGTAAAATTTTGAGACAGGGTCTCACTCAGTCCTTAAGTTGCCCAGGCTGGGCTTGAACTTTTGATCTTCTTGCCTCAGCCTCCTAGAATGCTAGGATCACAGGCATGTGCCGCAGTGTCCAGCCCACCTCTTCAGTTTTGTGGGTCTTAGTTTCTCTGTCATTCCCCTCCCATGGAGGGACAGTAGCTCTTAATCTAGGTAGTCCTTCTCAGCTCCAGAGGTTTGGCATTCTCTTACGGAAACAATCCATTTGAAATCTGTTTGAACTTCAGGGTTCTAAGCTTTCAGGGCTGGAAGGATTCCTTACAAGTCACCTCATCCACTGGTCCCCCACCTGATGTGCAGACAAGGCTATTTGCAGCTGGGTCACCTGGGAAACTTGTCAAATTGCAGATTCTTTGGCCTGGCCCTGCGCTAAGTGAACTCAGATCTGTGGACATTAGTCCAGACAGTATTCACTGAGCTACACAGCCAGGCTCGAGGACTTCTGCAAGAGACCGGCTTCCCATGTGAGACTGAGGTCCTGAACAGCTCCAGCGGTGGGGAATTCACTGCGCCGGGAGCAGCCCTTTCCATGGCTGGGTAGCGCTCTGTGCTAACAAATTGCTTCCTTCTCCTGACTGGAGATCTGCCTCATTGTCATTTCCACCTAAATAAACAAAGGCCTATTTTTTTCCCCTCATTTATCCTCGGCCTCAAATTTTTCTTTTTTTTTTTTTAGCCTCATACCATCAAGATGCTCCAAAGAGTTACTGCCCGCGCCTCCGAACGACGGGCACACAGTTCCCACTCAGGCCTGTGAGCGTCTGGCACTGTGACTCTCATATAAATTAGATCCTGATTTATGTGTGAGAGAGGGCATCAGCCAAAGGGACCCCATGGGGCGGCGTGGTTCATTGATATAAATCTGAAATTAAATTATCTTGAGAAAATTACAATCCAGCTGCCTTTGGCAGTGGGGATAATATATATATTTCATTAAATATTAAAGTTTAATTTTGCTTTTGTATATGTGCTTGCATTGGGCTGTACCCCTGATCCTGAGAAGCATTATAATATATAAAATCTTAGAGAAGACACAGCACACTGGAGCTTGGAGGAACAAGTCTCATTGGGTCATTTCATAGATGCTGCAAAGAGGCCCAGGTACTGTCAGGATTTATTCAGGGTCACACGTATCAGGTAAGTAGCACTCTTTCCTTCCAAATTATAATTGGCATTGGCTCTTAACTCAGCAGGCAGTGCCTGCAGGTCCTGGCCACCCTTTTCTTCAGGAGGGGTCAGGAGCAGGGAAATTTCTGGTGTCTCAGGAAGCTGCCGAGTGATTAATCACTCTGTAAGGTTTTCAGACAGCGCTGGCCTCTACCTTTGTGTTGGGGTCACTGGAGGCCTGACCTGCGGGCTTTTTTAGGAGCTCTGTGATTTGTCTGGGGCCCTTGGGAATCTTTGTGGCCCAGTGGAGGTGCGAAAGGAATCATGGGACTTAAGCGGGCAGACACCTTCTCCTGCCAAACTTCCAGCCCTCACCATAAGGGAGACCCTTTTCCTGGCTTTTGGGATGAGGTACAGGAAGCTGCATCTTACTTCAAGTCAGGAGGGGGCCAAAGGGGTTAGAGTGTGATGGGGGGGGCCATGCTGTTATCCAGCCCTGCAGATCTGCGTTCTGAGTACCCTGAAAATCGGGAGGGGAAGGGCCCTGACTCAGTGGTCTGAATTAAATCTTTTTTCTTAGGGGCTGGGGATTTAGCTCAGTGGTACAGCACCTGCCTGGCAAGTGCAAGGTCGTGAGTTCGATTCCTGGTACCAGAAAAGTAAACCAAAAAATAAAAAAAAAAAAAAAAAAAAAAAAGTAAACCAAAAAAAAAAAAAAAATTTAAAAAAAATAAATTTTTTTTCTTAAAAATGTCAACTGCTAGTTGGGGGTGGTGGTACATGACTCTAAGCCCCATACTCTGGGAGGCTGAGGCAGGAGGATTGCAAGTTCGAGCCCAGCCTGGGTGACCAGTGACTTAGTGAGGCCCTGTCTCAAAATAAAAATAAAAAGGACTGTGGATAGTTCAGCACAAAGTCCTGCATTTCATGTCTAGTATCACCAGCAAACCGAACCAAACCCAACCACAATCCATTGCTGTGTAAGAGAGCAAATAAACAAATAAAGCATTAGACAAAGAATGGAGTCAGAGTAGCTGGGTGAAAAAATCCTTGGTCAAAAAGTTACTGGTCACCAGGTATGGTCTTACACACCTGTAATCCCAGCACTCAGGAGGCTGAGGCAGGGTTGCTGTGAGTTCTAGGCCAGCATGGGTTACACAGTGAGACTGTCTCAAAAACAAAACAAAACAAAACAAAACAAAACTAAAACAAAAGTCCCTGGTCTTTAGAGCCTTGGTTTTGTAGTCATTTAAAAGCCAGTAAGTTTGCTAGCTCACTTGTCCATTCATTTATGAAAGGTTAGTTGAGGGCTTTCCATGCCCCAGGTTTGGTGATATGCACAGAGGAAAACTGGGACACGGACCCCTGGTGCACCCACATTTGGCATATGAGCAAGACAGGACTCCTCCGCTCAGGATGGAGTTCTGAGAGAGCCCACCAGGGGGCGTAGCGGACTGGAATTCTCAACATCGGCCTAGGGCGGAGGATTCAACCTGGTGGCTGAGGGCCATAGCCAGTTCTCAACAAGTTTGGTTCGGCCAATGGTGCTTTTAAAAGACATGGTTGAGTTTCCAGTTTGGAAGCGTTCATGCAGAACCCCGACTTAAGTCCAGTCTTGGAAGGCCTGGCTACCCAGAGCTGCATTCGTTCCCTCCCGGCAGACATGGGCAGGAGCGGAGAAGTGGTTGCCCTTAGCTGAGCGCTGTTTTGTTTTTCTCCTCTTATCCCCATCTTACCGCATTCATGGGCGCGGCCCGCGTGGCCCCTCTGGCTATGTGAGATTGGGACTCTGGTGAAGAGTGCCGTGACAGCAGCGTTGGCCCTGACTTTCCTGTCCCTGGAGGAACCACGGTTAAGCCACTGGTGATGGAGGGTATGGCCTCAGGAGCAAGGTGCAAGGAAGGCGGCTGCAGAGGGCTGGGAGGTGGCCCCAAGCACAGGCCCCCGCGGATCTCCTGATCCTTTTCTATTTACAGAGCTGCACGGAGTGTGGGGCGCACACTCGGAAGGGGGCTTGGAGAACAGGGGCAAAGGAGGCAAATGTTAGGGAGCTGCGGGCCGCTGTCACACCCTTGTTGGCTGTTGGGCTTGAGCCAGAGGAGCAGTGAAGAAGGGCATCTGGAATCAGGGATTGATGGGAGGCTGACTGGGGCCCTAGGAGTAAGATTTTGTTTGTTTGGGTTTTGGAGACATGATTGTGCTCTGTAATCTAAGTTGGCCTTGAACTCACTATGTTGCCCAGGCTAGCCCTGAACACGTGATGATCCTCCTGTTTCAGCCTTTCAAGTGCTGGGATTTCAAGTTTATGTCACTGCCTAGAATAAATTTTTACTGGGGTTCTGAAAAGGTCACAGTGCACAGACTCCCAAGGAGGTCTTAAAAATGGCCTCTCTGAACTTTACCTAGGCGCTGTGAGACACTTACAGCTTTCTAAGGCGTCAGTGAACGCTGAGACCCAGCCTCCCTTGTTCTAGACACTCAGATCCCGCACAGCTATGAGGGCGAACGAACCTTCTCAGCTGGCCTGGACTAGGGTTTGTGATCTAGCAAACCAGGGGGCACATCTGGCTTACAAATATGTCTTATTTGAATTTCTGTGTTACGAATAAGTTTCACAAGGACCTTGACTTCTGGCTTTACTTAGAATCCTGGGAGATTCGGCAACATGGAGCCTGTATTCCTATAAGCTGCAGGCTTGGAGGAGGCTTCCCTTTCCAAGAAGCTTGTACGTCTTTTTATCCACAGTCTCTACCATTCCCTATTATCTCACTTTTGCTGATTATCTGACTTTTGGCTCAACTAAGTTCCCTTTCTAGGCTTGGCAGCACTTGAAATGGTGATTCTGATCTAGACGAGATATTTTCAGAATTATTCTTTCTCTCTGGGAAACTTCCAGCACACGCATTTGTGTGGGGAGCCCCTTATCAAAGCAAACAAAAGTGGGGGGAAGTAAAAAGAATGAAGGTGTGTTACACGCACCAACTCCCCACGGTGGAGATAATCATTACACACTGCCAGCGTGGGCTAATGCAAATGTAAAATATTAAAAACAGGGAAATAACAAAGTTTTAAAAAATAAAATCCAGGAGATAGAGCTGTTAACATGAATAAAAACAAATAGCCCGGCATGGTGTCACACGCCTGTAATCCCAGCACTCTGGGAGGCTGAGGCAGGAGGATCGTTGCGAGTTCGAGGCCAGCCTGGGCTACAAAGTGAGCTCAAGGCCAGCCTGAACTGCATAGCGAGACCCTGTCTCAGAAAGACAAAAACAAAACAAAACAAAACAAAAACCAAATAAAAGTGGAGCTGCTTGAGGAGAAGTAGAGGAGGAGTTGCTCATCGCCTTCCCCCAACATCTCCCTTTTGGGGCACCTGGTGGAAGCCCTGCAATTCCAGGAAGATCGTGTTTGAACACTCCAGATGTAGCCAATCCCATCACTGCAGAGCTGCGGAATTGAGGGTCCAGAGAGAGGGAGAGCTAACCAAGCTCAGAGAGTATGCCTGTGACCAAGCCAAGACTCGAATCTACCGTGCCACCTTCCCTGTCCATCCTCTAGCACACCAGAGGCAGCAGCTCAGTCTTGATTCAGTACTGACTCCAAGCAGCTGAAGGTACTGAGGCACTTGACCCTCTGAGGCTCTGTCCGGGTTTGGCGGGAGAAAAGGTTGAATGATTAGCAGCGCTGGCCTGGGTAGAGAAGAAAGGACCACGGGATTCATACCGTGTGCACACAGTACCATGCTGTTTGCTTCTACCAGCAGGGAAAGCATGCTCCAGTGGATATGAAAGGAATGTTTTCTCTACCTTTAAAATTGGGCCTGATCCTGGCATCGTATCCAGAAGTTCTCCCCATGAGCTTATCCAGGAAATCAGAGGGTGACATAGACTTGGGAGCAGAGCGGGCGGCTTCGGCCTCCTTGGAAGCAGCGAGGCTAAAGGAGAGAGGGAAGCAAAGGGTTAACAATGGCTCTTTCTTGCACTGTGATCAGGTCCTGGCCCTGTCCAGCTGCTGCAGAGCTGCCAGGGTGCTCTCCGTGGAGGAATGGGCCATAGGGGTCCTGAAGGAGCGAAGGCCCGGGCCAGAGTGTTCACCCAGCCCACATACAGGCCAGCCTGGGATCCCGGCAGACAGCCGAGCGCCTGATGAGGCTGAGAAGCCAGTGGCTCCTTTAAGGCTTCATCACCGGCACTGCGGCGTCACTGCTGGCTGCTGGGTCTCCCTGGGAGAGGAGACTGAAGGGCCAGCCGTCTGGTACTTTCAGCCCCGAGTTTTGGGTACCTGTGTAAGACAGGTCCAGGGAACGACATAGCCAGCAGGGACTTTACAGTGGAAACAACCCAGACTATCCCCGAGGTTTCTCTTCCGAGTCAGCCATGGATTAAAAAACCAAAACAAAATAAAAGATTTCCAGAGCCAAATGTATTTGAGAATATAAATTTAGCCAGCCGTGTTTACCTCGGGTCTCTATGGAACGTTTAACAGGCTTATGCTGTCATGGCTTTGGGGCAGCTGTCTCATGGAACATCCACTTTAGAAAACGCTCAGTTGGGACTGTTGAGGCCCAGCCGGGGGAGGGAACAACACGGGTCCCAGAGCAGTGAGCAGTGGTCTCTGCCTCTTTGTACCAAGAGCCGGGGATCTGAAATCAAACTACTGTTATCGCTTCTCGTGTTTGCCGTTACCCTCCTTGCAACAAGGCAGTCCCAGATCCTCGTTTGTCCCAGCAGGAGTCGTGAATATCTAAGAACAAGGACCCTCCCCTGCCTCACTCTCAGAGGCACCGGGATTTCACTGTGAAGAACCACCGTTGGGTTCTCTGGGCCCCTGAGATTTCCTGATGCTCCAGGGATGTCAGGAGACGGCCGGAGCCACGTGCCACCCTGCCCCGTGCGCCTGGGGCTGGTGTGTGGAGGAAGCAGAGGTGGGGAGGGAGAGATGTGCGACTCTGGGTCCATTTGTCAGACAGAAGCTTCCGCCACTGTCAAGCAGGGCACAGCACCCCCAGCGTTTGTACTCAGCTTCCCCTGTCCTGCCCCCTGCACCTTTCCTGACTGCATCCATTGTAAATGTTCCAGTGACCGCTCTAAAGGGTGACTCCCAAATCTACATCTCCATTCGCGCCTCTCCTGTAAAGCCTTTTCCTCAGTGGCCAACGCCTGAAGAACTTTGTCCCCTTCTGAGTCCTGTCTGTGCCACACATTCACCTCCCAGAGTGAATGCCACACTTTCGTTCCCACGCTGCCCCTCCAGATCCCAGTGACGCCGGACACACCCATGTGTCTCCGGGCTTCCAGAAACCTCGGGCATCACCTCGCCTCCTCCCACTCTCCTCTCTTGCCCCTCACTCACCAGGAGCCAGGCCGTCATGTGATGTAGGCATTTGTGCTTTTCAAGCATGGATCCTGCTGATTTTTCCTTATTTACTTATTTATTGTTTGTTTGTCCTCTTAATCCCTTACTGTGTGTGCCATGGCTTCCCAGACTTGATTGGTGCTCAGTGATTGCACAGTGAATGAATGAATAAATAATATGCTACTTTATTTAATCAATTATCCTGGCTAGTAGGGAGTGAACATAAATATTTATATATAGATTAACAGTTTAAAAATAATTAGAGAGGCCGGGCGTCATGGTGTATGCCTGTAATCCCAGGACTTGGGAGGCTGAGGCAGGAGGCTCGTTGCAAGTTTGAGGGCAGCCTGGGCTACAAAGTGAGCTCAAGGCCAGCCTGAACTGCATAGTGAGACCTTGTCTCAAAAAGACAAAAAGTAAATAAATAAAAAAATTAGATCTCACACACTGGAATAAAGCCATTGACAGAATTTGACATTTCTTTGAAGATCTGGAAGGCACTCCAGGACTCTTCAGACACTCTTGGTCAGGAATTTGAAGATGCTTCACTCATTGTAAGGAGCTAGTTTTGACGGTGCAGATGAGGGGCAGGTACACTTGCTGGTTTATATGTGTGCAACTATGGATGTGGGAGAGTTTCTGCGATGTGGGTAGGCTACTGTATGTGATGTACATGTGTGTCGTGTGTACAAGTGGATGGGTGTGTAGTGTTAGTGTGCTGGGGTTACAGTGTGCACCAAGATGTTTGTGGATGTGGAGTGGATTGTGCTATGTAGATTAGTGTATACAACCAGGGATATAGCTCGGTGGCGCAGCACCTGCCTGGCACACAAGAGGCCCTGAGTTTGATTTCCAGCACTCGCGCACCCCCCCCAAATTAGCTTCTTAGATTAGTGTGTGCAAAAATGTGAACAACTGTGTTCATGGCAAGTGTGGCATCTGGTATGGGAATTGTGTGTGTGTGTGTGTGTGTGTGTGTGTGTGCTATATAATATATACACTTGGGGTAGAAGATGTGAATAAAATGCCTTTGTAGAAGTATGTTTGTGATGTGTATTTATATATATTTATTTTTGATCTGTATGATGAGATATATAGAATAGTGCAAAAGAGGAAAAGAACAGGTGATTTGGAATCCATCCTACATCGGTCATTTATTACCTGCATCACCTTGGAAAGTTACTTAGCTCTTTCTGAAGTTAATTTGCTTGACTATCAGATCAGTTCTGCACAAGGAGTAGTTGAGATAGCACAGGTGAAAAATGACTGGGTCAGCCTTTGGAATACAGGAGGCTCTCACGCTGCTCTTTTCCCCTCACAGTGTGTGTGTGTGTGTGTGTGTGTGTGTGTGTAGCAGTTCACAGCCAGAAGAGGGATGTTACCTTGTCTCAAACTGCTTTAGGCACGCTACATCCAGCATGGCAGGATGGTCTTTCCAGGTACTGTCCACAGCCACCATCAAGACCTTGTCCCTTTCGGCACAAGATTCGGGGTTGCTCTGTGCTCTGTTGTGAGCAGAGGTGGGCGATGTACAACTTTTCAGTGCCCTTGCTCTCTTCCAGACCCTCTCTAGGAATGGCAGTCATGAAGCTTCCACGAGCTCTGTTCTGTCTCAGCTCCTGCTCTCCCGTAATAGGATTTGGGGACATAGTCCTCCCTCCCCAACCACTAGAGCGCACACGCCATTGCTTGGCCCTCAGACCTCTTTCATAAGCCCGAATCCTATTAGGCAGTACAGTGGGAGAATGAATCCGCCCCAAATTATCCCACACCACTTGCTATGAGCATAAAGTGCCATTTAATAGTGGAATCATCCCCAAAGCTGACGGCTCCTCTGCTTACTCTAGGTCTCATTTCTGTTGGTCATTTGTCCATTGTCTCACTCAAAGCCCCGGCGCTGAGCAGCACTGGAGGTGACCAAGACTCTGAAAGGTTAAGTAACTGGCTTCAGGTTACACAGTAGTTTTATGGGAGATGGGGTTAGAACTCAGCTTTCAAGGGCTGACCCATACAAATGCCACAACGTTTGAAAAAGCCTTTTGTAAATGGCAAAGTGTACAATCCGGATAGTATCTATAACTATTTGTTTCTGAAGCTTGTTACCCATCCTGGAATACCAGGAAAATCAAAGCATCTGTCTTACTTCTGGTGACCCTGACATGCACAATGTTGAATTTAAAACAGAGGAAATATAATCGTTGAATTTAAAACAGAGGAAATACAATTCTCTCTTTAAAATGGAGACCATGTAATTGTGGATTACCAAACAACCCTCTGCTGTGTCAAAGGATTCATATTGAAATTCCTCTGAAATTCTCAGGTCCAGTCTCTCCTCCATATCATTTGCCTGTGATTTCATAATTTCATAATTTTTGCCCTGTGTGTGTTCTACATCTACAATGGCTCCTGAGCCTGAGGCCTTCCCCAGGTCATGGGGGAAGATTGGCAGTCCTGGAAGGCGTTGGAGACACACCGAGCTCTCTGGATTGAAAGACAATTGGCTCAATATTAAGTCAGCATTACTGTGCATATTCAGCAGCAATAAATCACACTCTCCTTCCTCACAGCCCTAGTCCAAAGGTTCCTTTATTTTTCCCCAACACGAAAGCTCCATTCATTTTTATGCCAAAGTAGCCTTTTCCCTCCACTTGATAATCCTGGTACATTTCTGCCTATATTTAGACAGTACAATTTGCACAGGATTATTTTAAGCCCCTCACCCCCGGTGGATCTGTGCTGTGTGCATCTGGGTAGAGTAAATATGCCTCAGGGAGCTCCCGATGCATATTTGGAGCCGTCACCTTGAGGGACTTAAGGATTTGTTTGTGGACCGTGAGGTACTGGACAGAGAAGCTAAGACTGAATCCGCGAGGTGAAATGCTCAATCATTAGGATTTTCTGACCTTGTGAAAGTATTTGGAAATGATGCAAATTGTTTCAGGGATTACTGAATGTTAGGGGTGGATCAGCCTTTGTTGAGGCAGATTTGATGAACAGTAATTTTCAAAAGGTCAGGGAGGTCTTTGGGGACAAAGTTTGCTGCCCCTGACTGAGGGATAATGGTTTATGGTGTCTTCAGTGACAGAATGTTAGGCATCTGTCAATTTTGACTTGGGATCTGTCACCCTAAGAACCTTTGGTACCCGGAGGATCTCAGTTGTGACTCCTAATGACACAGATGATGGAAATGTCCAGAAGTAAAGCTCAACAGAGGGCTGGGGGCAGGGGGATATCACAAAGATGGGGCTGTGTGACCCTCGTCTCTTGGCTTTTAGTCTCCCAAGATAAAAAGATGAGGGGATTAGGAGGAGCACTTCAGGGTCCTCCAGCGGTAGGCCATCCTTATATGTTATATCCTTATATGTCTATAACAGTCCCTCTTTCTCATGCATCTGATCTTGGGATCTGACCTCTTTCATAAGCCCAAATCCTATTAAGCAGTACAGTGGGAGAATGAATTTGCCCCAAATTATCCCACACCACTTGGTATGAGCGTAAAGTGCCATTTCATAGTGGAATCATCCCCAAAGGGGACGATTGGACAGGTGACCAACAGACTTGAGACCTAGACTCCTTTGG